AATGCAGGCGCTTCTGGGAACGATCTTTCCGGACGGCGCCGCGCGCGTTGGGATCGCGCAAAGAGATAAGTCGTCGCTGGTCCCGAGACTCGTGCCTTCCGAGCTAATAATGAGCACAGCTCGAATGAGCATCGCCGCAGACCGTGTTTGCCAATGCCGAGTCTGTCTGAACTTCAATCTCGAGGCAGCAGCCATGTAGTCAACGAGCGCCGAGATGAACCGAGCGACGGAGGAACGCCTCGGAACAGAACAAGATACCACCAACACCAAACCAGAAGTGCAACCCAGAAGCGCATCGGACGTTAAAGGGCACTTTGTGTGCGGACCAGCTGTTGGCCGGCCACCTCCTAAGATTGTAGATGCGAGCAAGTGAGCATCATTCCGCAACGCGAAAAAAGCCGTTCACCCTGCGACGCTCTGAAGCGTGGGGTGTCGGACTGCGAGCCGTCCAGATGGGGAGCGTGGGGACCTTTACTCGACGGGACCTGACGTTCAATCGCACGACCGCTCGCATGCCCGCTCAGCCAGTCGGACGCTTGTCCGTTCGTCCGTCGCAGCAGCAGCCGCCGCCATCGTCGTCGTCGTCCACAGAGACTCGCTCACAAGTCGGACTGGATCTCAGTGCGGCCGTTGTTGCTTGACAGGAAGGACCTCCCCGGTGACTTCGAAGACGCCTAATCGGCTGTGACGATCTGACCCAATGGTCAAGATAACAGCCAAGTCAATATTCCAGCGACGACGAACACACAGCAAACCATACATAGCGAAGCCATCAAGCGAAAAGCTACCGTGTATTTGTTCAAGCCTTCTCTCAGCTGGTAGAAATCACGAATTTGTTGACGGCACAAACGTGTGGACACTCGGCTGGACCAAAGGAAGGGAGCACCATGGAAATGAGCGTTTTGATTTGTTTGCTCGTCGCCGTTGCCGCCGCCGCCGACGCCTCACTGGTTGACCAGACCAGCCTGGTGAACTATAACGACCATGTTCCCGAGCGGTTGAACTGTACCATTTGGAAGGTCTCTTTTTCCCCAATTTTTATTCCACTGTCAAGAAGCTGCGGAGCTCCGTGATTGGTCGGTCTAGACAATCGTTCTAATTGTTCACAGTCAGTTTTCGCTTGCTCTTCCTTATTTACTCAAGCTTTACGGCGACACGTCAACGAAGAATGAGCTTCTTATACGGGGAGCCCACGAGCGAATGGGAGACATTCGACTCCGGCTGCGCATGCTTACGGAGCTCTGACATTGCCACACGCAACTCGTCGACACGCTAACCTTCTTCGACGTGCGTCTGAGGTCATAATTTGCGCTGTGGACTCTCGGTGACCACTGTCGGGAGCTCCGCCTGCTTCTTGTTTGGGTGAATTGCTCGTTGGAGCTCCCTTGCCGGATGTTCGGCTCCGTCCCTAGAGCTCTGTGCCCGTTTCGCTGCCTGCGGATGACTCACTGAAAGAATTAAGCTGCTGATCATCATTAACGAAAGCGGCGGACTCGTCGCGTGCGACATCAAATTACGGATTGTATGTAAAGTCGCTGAAGAGCGCAGCGCCCCGTATTACGCGCTCAGTCGGAGGAAGAGACGAGTTCAGCGAACATATTCGCGAATGCTTCCTGACAATCGAATTCAGAGGAAACTCGATCCTCCCGAATGGAATTCTACGATCTCCGCGATATTACGAACACGATCGAGGAGGGATTACCGACGAACTCTCGAGCGAAAGTTCGAATTCCGTCGGCAGCAGCGACCATGCCGAAGTTTCTGGATTTTCTTGTAAAAACCGAATTTATTTGTGACCATGCGCCCCCAGAAACGCAGGAGGAAATGCGGCGCCGAAATTCACAAATCACTCCTTCCCCGTAGTCCACTGAAGGAATTTTCGCGGAGTTTTTGACGCGGAAATTGGATTCCGTCCGGTGAAAATCATGCAAGGTAATCAGCGGCGATGTTTTCCTTCGTACAGAGAAATACGCGTGTATTCAAAAATTTTGAACGAGGTCGAGCTCCCTGCATGGGGAGAATCGAGGCGCAAAAATTGATAATAATTCGACACCCTCCGGATGCATCAGAGCATGCATGTCCCATCCGAGAAATTTTCGATTGTCAATGTCGGCGGCTTCAGATTGCTTTCGCGATGACGCTGTTTGTCCGTTACGCGCTCCGTGTCGCTTTCGGAAAGTTAGCATAGATTCGCGGCAAACGATCGATCGATCGATGCATCCATCGACAGACTTAATCCGCCTCAGATCCAGGAACATGGACAAGCCATGAACGTCTCCTTCGAACTGGTGCGAATAGAAGCAGCACGTGACGTGCCGAGTAATGGGTTTCGTTAAGTTCTGTCGCGATCCTTCAGAGAGCTGCTCAATACGTAATGCTGCAAAGGTGATCCGGCTTTGAAGGCCGCCATGAAGAACAACTTCAAGAAGAAGATTCCTTTACCCTTGAATACGACAGCGACTATTGGAAGGACCGAAGAGAATGAGAATCCAGGGACCGGCTGCCTGTTGAACGTTGGAGTAGCGGTCTTCCAACCGGTCTGGTGCGAGTATCCATCGTTACGCCTCGCCAACGGTTCAATTAGTCCGGGCTCGTCATGTGTGCATAGCGCACCCGGATGCGATGTCTTCTTCAGAAACCGGGAGACGCGGTAAACTTTCCTCCACCGAGGAAATGCTCGGGACGTTTGGCATTTCCGTCCGTATTACAGAAACTTAAAGAACTCCGTTACAACGAGAACTTTCGGATCCCTCGTGTACTCGGAGGGATGATCGATGATGATGACCTACTCGTGGAAGGAATAGGAAATCAAGAGAATTCGAAAATTCTCATGAACGGGATCACAGCATCCCCGATCCTTAGATCTGATATCCGAGTAAGGGGTGTTTCATTCGCGCCCCCATCACATTATTCACGTCGCCCTCCCGCATTTCGTCACCTCGACGTGATGATTCGGAAAATGCATCGCGCCGACCGTTGCGCTGACAAAGGCAAACAGAAGTCAGGGCCAATCTCTGGAAATCAACAAGCAACAACGCTGACTGAGCGCTAAGTGAAAAAAAGCCTTCAGCGTTTTCGCGGCGGCGCTGATGGAGATTTTAAATTCAAGCCACATCCACCGATCGTTTATCACCGGTATATATATTCAAACAAGGCGAAGCTAAGGCGACTTGGAAAGACACATTTCTGGATTCTGGCTCTCACAGACGGCTATCAACAGGAGACCGCCGCTGTCAAGGTTGCTTACGCGCGGCGGCATACGCTACTCGTTTCCCGTTGCGAAGACCAAGATCTGTGATAATTGCGCACGGATTGCCGATAGGATGCTCGCTGTCGTCGCATCTTCTGTGAGCCAGGGTTTATGATTCTGTCTTCCCAACCTAGTCGGTTGGGTTTCAAGCGGAGACAAGCGGATGGGCTGGCATATATAGAAGATCGACGAGCTCGAGGAATGAAATCGGATTTTCGTTCATTTCCGATCAGAAACTCAACGCGTTATCCGCACGATGTTCTTTCGCGGCGCGAGTGAGATTGGTTCAATCGTCGACTCGCGAGCGGACGAGCGAATCTCGCGGTGTCGGGTGTGGCCCTCCCACAACAAGTGGTCAACATTTCCTTCGGCGGAAAATCTTTCCGACGGCCGTCAGTCAGCCCCTGAATCGGCCCGGCGTGCGCGGTCGCGAGGGCGGAATAGATCTCATTTGGGGAAAGTAAATCGGACATTGAACATCAACCGACGGCGGCGGGCACTTCACCAAAGTTAACGGACGAACAAACGCAGAGACGAACATCTCTACTTAAGGATGCCAACCAGCATTGTGACCACGTTCGGTACCAAAACCACCACCGCCGCGCCGCCGCAACGATTAATGAGGCTTGCTTCGACAAGCGCCGTGGTTTCCGTCGGTAGCTCTCCGTAATCGTCTTCGAGCGAAAAGAAAAGTCGTGGATTTTTTCAGCAGCCGAGCTTTCTTGTCGTAGAAATTCGTCTGAATTTCGGTCACCCTCCCGAAAGCAGCACCCCGGGCTCGGCACCACACCAGATACCAGAGGCATGAAGATGGTTCCCTACGCATCGTCGCCATGGTCGCGGTTGTTGCCGAAGTCGTCGTGGAGTGTCGTTAAGATCGATTTTCGAAGGCAAACTGATCATTTTTCATGTTGGTAATCGGCGAATATACTGGGGAAATGTTGACATCTCTGTCGCGAGTCGCGAGTGAAACCCCCTCATTAAAACCGCATTCGATTTCTCTCGAGCGTTCTCGATAATAATTTTGGCTATTTAATAATCGTCCAACGGCGCCGCGCCGCTTCCGAGTTCTATCGAAAGAGACGCCAGGAAGGAGCGCAAGCCGCGTGACTCGCTCTTAATCACAATCGCACTCGTTGGCCAAACGACTATCAACTCGACGGAAGAATCGGAACCAATGCCTCGGGCAACTTCCGCAGAGCCCACCTGAGGTGACGGACGCCGTCCGGAGACATTTTTGCCTGAAGTCCAGATCGGTCCGTCTGAGACTCCGTCGATTCTGAAACGGAACTTTGAATGTTCATTCTCCACCCCCGATTTCGACACCGGGACCATGGCCGATGATTCGGCGACGCTCCATGCTTCGCTCAAAGTTGCTTTAGTTCCCTATGGCATCACGAATTCATCGTCATTCTGAGACTCGGGTCGGGAGCTTCCGTGTTCTGAAGCAAATCCTCTTTAGTCCTCCCACGCGACGCTAAGCACGCTGGTGTCCACGCCGCCGAATACCGCCGACACGACCGTCACGGCTCTCGTCGGAGCCAAGTCTGGCAATGAACGTCAGACTCGCTCGAGCAACCCCAATGGAATCAACTACTTTTGAGAGGCTTGCAACACGTAGCGCGTTAATCCGAGTTTAGATAGTTTTAATCGGTCGCTCGCGCAGGCAGAGTTCCATTCAAAGTTGGCAAGTGATCCTTCCGTGGTAGGCGATCATTTATTCAGTCTAATCTTTGGCTTTGCTTTTCAGGTGACATTTCAGAAGAAATCCTCAGAGCGGCTATGCTGGATGGCCACGTACCTTCCACCCCACCTTTTCTCTCTCTACAAAAACTCAAGGAAGCCTCATTGTGAGTTACCCAGAAAGGACTCTCTTTTATTTAATTCCGTTTTGTTCGGTAGCTGCTGTTTCTCCTCACTTACGCTGATATACGATCGCGTGATTCGTTCCGAGATGTCGAGAACTCGTTGTCAAACGCTTCTTCTTATCGACAATGGCGACGACGACGCTCGGTGTTTCGATAATCGCAGCCCGCTCCATCCATTGATTTAAGCCGGACATTCTTGACTGACACCCAAAACATTATGTATTCTCCTGATAAAAAGAGTTACAAACCGACAAGTTAGTTACAGTAGTCCGGTTCATTGGACGGTTCGCTCTTCCTCCCTACGGACGAATTTCCAAGGCGGACTTGGATGCGATGAGCTTTGAGTTTTGCTCCCTCGGGAGCCCAACTCTGGGGGCGTCGCTATTTCCTTGGCGGACACGAGGTGTTCGTGCAGAAGTTGGATGACTCGGTCGTCAGTTCTTCGGTCGTTGATTTCGGCTACTCGGGTGACTCTTCTATTTCCTGGACAATCGGTGATAAAGTCAGCGGCGGCAGCCGCAGAAGTCACCCTGGCCAGTCACCGCAGAAATGTTCTTCATCACTTGTGCAGAAGCGCTGCATCGTCCCAATATGAATCTCACTCTAAATAATATACCTTTGTGGTGTTGTGAGCAGTTCCTGAGCTGGCTGGCTACTTGGATGCCTGGATGGCGGGGAGTGTCGGCTCGGGGGCCACTCTCAACTGTTGTCGGCGTCGTCGTTCAGTTCAACTTGCCTTTTGTGAACATTGAACACGTAACGGGCGGCTTCCGATTCGAGCGAGAGGAGAAAAGCCTAGAATTGCATCGCGTCTTAGGTTATTAACGACAACAATGATCGTGCTCTCCGGTCAGGGCGCAACAAATGAAATTTCGATCACCAACGTTCCGCCTCTGCCAAATTGAAGAGTGTGACAACTGGCCTGCTCTTGTCGCGGAACCTGAGAAAGAAGAATCATCATTCGATGCTTTTCTCAACTTTTTCGCTCATGCGCATTCTCTCTGGTTCGATTTTCAACCCACCGAATCGATATCGGAAACGACGGCGGCGCGGTGCCAGCTCATTCCGCGCGGGCAGCTATGGTGTATCTCTCGATCCTTTCTCCATTCGGCTGGGAGGAAGAGTTTCGGCTTCTCCGATTGCCGGCTCGATGTGTGATTGACAAACCATTGAGTTCCATCAGAGTCATCTATCTCAGAAGAGCACCAGTACGCGATGCGAACTACCTTTCCGAATTCGTCTCGTCAGATACTCCCCTCACTTCGGTATCTATTTCTCCGGGCTTTTTTTTCGCGGAGTCATCGAATGTCCGGCCTCTCATTTTGTTGTACAGAACGCCGCGAGTACCACATTGGAAAGCGAGCCGAACGCCGAACATCCGCGAAAATCGAGCGGGTACTGAACGACTGAAAAACGTACATTCGGTCGACCAAAGCAGCCGATCGCTGTTCGGAGGATGGTCAGTGGGCGTGTGCAGGAAGACAAGGGCAAGAACAGGTTGTTGTAGGGGGTGTCTTGTCACGATCCGACCTCTGACCTCATCCGCCCTCGGCATGTCCAACAGCGCATCCACTACAGAGAAAGAAGCAACAACAAACGAGAGAAAAGAAAGAAAAAATGAAAAAGAAGCCAGAGAGGATGGGGAGGGAACAGACAGATTGGTCCGCCATTGATTGTGTGTGTTTTCGCGACGAGCGGACGTTGTCGACGGCGTTCGCATACGGCCTCCCTGATGTTCGTACGCTATTCTTCGTCCGTGTCCCGGCCGCCATTCAATGATGCACTTGAAAACCACCGGACGAACTCCTGGATTCCTCGGCTCGTGTCGAGAACTTCCGAAGAGACGCGACCGAGGACCTGCTGAACTTCGACATCCGGTTCCTCGTTGAAAAGAGAGACTCATGGCGTAGGTTGCGGAATGTCCTGACGGGGACGTCGTTGGGAAGCCCCTAAAAATTATTGTATCTGATTGCGAAGAGTATGTGACCTCAGCGCAACAAACAGCCGAACAGTCGATTGTACGAGTCTAGTCGGGAAGGAATCGAGTCAGATAAGACTCGAAAGAACTCCACCGTCGTCGGATCGATTGGATCCGACCGTATGTTAGAATAAGCCATTTCAATTCCATTCACCACTCCCAGTTCCCTCGCTGCGAATAAGTGAGGCCGAGAGAAAAAAGTCATGTGGACAAATGACACCTCTCTGAATTCTTGTTATGGCTCGCACCAGAAGACGAGCGACAACCGAAAATGTTGCCTCCGCGACCGTCGGGCAAACGTACATTCGAATGAACGGACGGTCGTTCGGTCGATCGGCCGGCCACACCTCGAGATGTCCACCGCGATTCCACCACGACATCGGTGACAAAAGTGCGCCGCTGCTCTTTCCTCTACTGTCTGTTGTGCGGAGAGTAGTTACGGTGGAGCTGCGGTCGTAACCACTCCCTGGTTTTCGCTCGAAACCTCACACTCTCACTCTTGAACTGGGTCTTTGTCCCATCTACGTGCGGATGGAAGCGCCTGCGAAACTTCGAGCGAACGCGTGAAATGCGGATCGCGAGACGGGACTGATGAAACGAATTCCCAACTGAATGATCTGCCTCGATGCTGCCAGAAGAAGTCGGGCCTGACCTGATCCGACGCCTTCCGCCGTGGGAACACGCCGTCCAAGAGATTAGATGAGGACGCCCCCCTTATCTGAAAGACGATCGCATTATAGAACTATCCACTCGAGATTTTCCGCCGCTTCGGAAAATGTGATCCCGAACAATACTTCCGAGGTGTCGTTCTGATTTTCTCTACCCAAGATAAGTTTGAGAAAACGATGAATTATGATCGAAGCGTCCAGATAGATCGTCCTTCCCTTCGGAGGGGAAATTGACGGGGCACGAGCTTCGTGAGACGCGTCTCTACGCTCTTCATAGCGTTACATGAGCATCTTTGACCCGGCCGCCGAGGTTATGCTTATGTTCAAAGTATCGCAAGGTTCCCACTCTGATAATTGCTCGTCCGAAAAACTCCCCGATGTTCTCGTGTGCGTTCGCGTTAGAATCCATCACCGCGGTTCGACTGAATAGCGATATCAGATTTCAGATATCCTTATCCGAACCATCTTAAATGCGGAGGATAATTGTTCCCGAAGTGTCAAACTGCATTTTGTGGTTCGTGAGAATAGTCAGCGGAGGTCCGACAGATGATAAAAACCGCCGTCTCGCGGCTTACACGTATTGATTGAGAAAAGTCGCAGCAATGGGGAGTTTCCGATGCCAAAAAATACTTCGAGCACCGATTGCGATAAATCTTGCTGATGTCGAGCCTTGTTGCGCTGTAAAATGTTAATTTCACCAACAAAGTGATATTGGCTGCTGAGCGGTGCGGACGGCTCTTCGCTGCGGACGTCTCAATGCACGAATTCAAAACAGGATTGGAGTCTTACAATAATTGACTGACTCGGCGAGCTGCCTCATCGTTTGCCGAGAAGTTACCGTACGGAAAAAAACCATAATGCCTAGTTTGCACGGCCAGTAATTAAATGGGTGAGGACGCCATCAATCATATGGAAATTCCACTGTCGCTACTGATTAAAGGAGTCGACGTCACCGCCGACGACTTCATAATGGTCGCTCTCTTGATTTTCCCATTGCTCGCTCGGACTCTCGTCAATAATTATCGCCGTCGACGGGCTATCGACGATCGCGAACGAGTGCCGACATTGATTCGTCAGCTCTGATAGCTCCATTGTTCCGCATCGAAGTTCTGGCATTCAAGGAGCTGGATGTCTCACTCGTGACTTTTTCATCCGGGTTAAGGCCGCTCATATGATAAATTCAACGCGAGGGGTCTCATACTGTTCGGATATCCTTACCGCACGCACGTAGGCTCTGGCAACAGAACTCTTCGGGAAGAGCTAAAAAAATCGTCGCTCATTAGGGGGAATCATTCAATGATGTCAGGACGTCGAACTGCGTTCTTCAATAATCGCCCCGAAGTCGGTACCCGGTTGCGAGGACCTCCCCCCTGGGGCTTCCCCCTATACCAGTATCTTGGACTGGTTCGAGGGTTTCCCGGGAAGATTCGAACGACGATCTTCTCGTCTAATTCTCCTGGGCTTCCCCGGAGCTGCTCCACACTCATTCAAAAATTTTGTTCATCCTCTTCACGTTTAACTCCCGAAGAACTGGTGGTCTTTCTCAAAAAAGGGCTATCAGCGATGCTCGGCAGTCCCATTGTTCTCGTTTCGTGAACTGATCTCTGACCCGAGAATTTCCTAATATTATCACCTATTTAAATATGATAATTATATCATAGCGAAATGAGCCCCGGCCCCAAACCTGCTTAGTGGGTTAGTAACTTTAATCACTCTGAGTGTCAACAAAATGAAATAGGATGAATGGAAAGAGAAGCCGGCTCGCCGCTCCCGAAAACTGAACCGCAGAATACGCTGCTTTCAGTGTGATCTTGACTCTCGAAGCATCTGCTCGCCGGTGTCCTACCACCGATTTTCGGGGGAGAGTTAAACTCATGAACTCCCGGGACAGCTGAAGCTTCCCGGGTGAAATTGTTTCCACTGGGGAACGGCACAGATCTGAGCAAATCGCTTGCGCGCGCGCGCACTGAGGATACGAGTCGCGACGGCTCTATTGCCTAACGATGTGTGCGCACGCACAAACGGCGGGCGCAATCCGTCATTCGGCAGCATCGAGCGGACCGCTGTGGCAAGTTGTGGTTTTTCGCACGTTTCGCCAGGGTCTAAAGTAATTTCTAGCGTTCCGTGAATCGCAGTTCCCACAAAACTTCGTCCCATCTTCTGCTGCTTCCCTGAGTCGGCAGCACAAATCGCTGTTTCTGTTAGCTGAGCCAACAAAGATTCGACCGAAGATTCAGTCGTACAAACCGACAGGAGCAAACTCGGACAGTCCCGACGCAATTACATGACAAGATCATGTGAGAAGGACTCAATTGTTTTTCCACCCATTGCAATTGGAAACGCCTGGACTGGATGAGCAGCCGTGAGAAGTCCGTCACGGCTCGCTTTGTTACACCAAACTGAGAGAAACAGAGAAAATTACGCGGGACAAACCTAATCCACTCCGTATACCCGACGAGGAGACGCCGAAAGAAAGGAAACCCCGCCATCATTCATCAATCGGAAACGTAACGAAACAAAGCGACGAAGCAAGCACGAAGGAAACCTCCCCGCAAACATGAGCAGTCTCCTCACAAAGGCCAGCAGATACGAAAAACATGGGATACTGTGAAAAAGATCTATTAGTCAAGTCGCAAGCGTTTCCGGACTGAATACGTGGGGTCCTGTCAAATTTGTTTCTATTCCTTCAGAAGGGGGAACAGAGTTTTGCAGGCTCTTCGTCATTTCCTTGAAGATTGCTCTTGTAACACAGAACAATTCTAAGAAAAAAAAGCAAGCGAAACTGAGTGATTAATTTTCGAGCCGCTCTCGCGGCCGACCACCGAATCGCCGGATCACCGAATCCTAGCGTAAGCGATCGCTTTCTTGAGCTGACGCTGAACATTTCGCCATAAACCTATTCGTAGTCGAGTGCCAAAATTCCTCAAGGATTACGGAAGTCTCCGGAGAAGCATGTTAACGCAAAGAGAAGCTTCATCTCGGGCCGAGTAAGTGTCTAATTTTCAACTCCTTGAAAGCAATCAGGTTGCCTCAGAGTTTAGTCAGCTGGGCGCAGGGTTGCCTAGTGGCGCAGGTAGCGACCTTGATGAGCCCATGATCGTAGTGCTCGGACACTTTTGCCTTAATCGAGGATCTCTACGATAAGCGATGTGCGTACGTCTTTTAGTAACTTTTCTCTGAGGACGACAGATGGAGAGGCGAGGAGGGCGTACGAGGGACATGATCAACAACTGACATTGTCGACGACAACCAAACACAGGTCTTCGTGTGCGGAAACCAGCGAATTATAGAATATTTCTTGAGATGCGCAAGCTCTCCGTTGCAGAAAAACAGGGCAAAGGTGACGGATATCCGAGCAGGGGCGAATTCCGTGTGGCCACTCGCGGGTACGAGTACTGCATAAATGCGCCGCGAAGGTCACAGGAAACGGAGAATTTTCGTCAAGTTCACAAGATCGGAGACTCCAGATCAAGAGAGGATCGTCACGTCGAGAATTCCGCGAACAGGTTTTGTTCCATGGGTTTTACCTCATTGCGGTGCGAGGCGTGTCCCCCTTATCAGCAAAAAAACAGCCGACCCGCCAGTCAGGCGGCCAAATGAACGGGCAGGCAAACAGGCGGGGAGACGTGCAGGGTCACGGTCTCTCAGCAAGCATCCGATACCCTTCGATAATTCTTTGAAGAAAATAGACGACATCTCGAAACAGATAAACGGATCACAGAAAACCACCGATTTCGGCATTGGATCTTCTCTTATTTTCCGTCCCTTTTCAATAAGTCCAGTGCTTTTCTCGGTAGATTTGCAGTCTTCTTGTGAGATACATGAAATACAGCGGGGAATGCTTGTCCTCCCGGAATGGCGATGGACGGTCCCTGAATGCGCTATTGCAGTGATTGCTCAGCAACCTAGAATGAGAGTTAACGGAGGCAGCATCCCTCAGGGCCGTGAGGTCCTGTACTGTGGGTGTACGGCATAGAGTCACGTTTTCGAGCGGTGTGAGCGGCGGCAGCGGCTCCCTACGCTGAAAAAGATTCAGTTCCCTCTTCGCAGAGCTGTCACCTATGAACCAGACATCCACCCGCGCGATCAACGACCCCACGTTGGCTCACCCAGCTCACGAAGACATTTATCGTCGCGTTGAATTCATCGCGGCTGATTTCTTCCCTGGCTTTCTGCTCCAAAATATCCCGAGGTTTTGTCAACCCCGTGATTGCCTGAGAGTCATTCGGTCGTGATCTTTGTGCGTCGCCGCCGTCTTCGTAGACGTCGAGTGAAACTTTCGAATTGGAAGCCATTCCTCGAGCGGGCGGGGAGACGGACACGCGCACTTTCGAGCCAAGAACGGAAAATTCGTTTTTCCCGAAGGGGTGTACCTATCTCTTTCTTTAACTCCCGGCTGTTTGTGGTGGTCGGACCCTCAGGGAATTCGCGCTTCATTCTGATGATATATGTGGACCTAGACTCTAGTTTTCGATCTCCAACGCTCGGCTCGATTCAAATCCGTTCCAGAAAGGGGCTCAGTTTTGCTGTCGCAGAACGCAAATGGTGCTCCGTCAGAGGATGTACTGCTGTGGAAATCGTTCGAGAAGCAGAGTTGTTTTTCTCCTCTCCGCGAACATTATGTCGGCTTACGATAGATTTCATTTGTCTTCTTTCCCACACGGAGCGAGCTGCACGAGGGTCGGCGTCTGAAAAATGCTGATCACCTGGAACAGTGACCAATGAAGATCCGGATGCCACGGCGCTGCGTTTCCAGTTTTGAATCGCACTCTTATCTCAGAGGTTCTCGCGAGCTCCGTGGCCATTTTTTCCTTTTTCCGAAGTCGGTTCACGCTTACTGGTGTCCGACTACAGCGTTCACAGGAAAAAAAATATTCGTGGAATTTCGGAAAATCCACCAATCGGGCACTCCCGTACTCATTACGCGCTCGGAACGCACTATTGACCTCCAGATCGCTTTCTCGAGTCGGTGCACTGAGGTTATTTCAGCGTGATATCCCGGTCACTTTCTCAATAGGCGGGTCTTCTGGCTGAGGTGTCCGGTGTATAAGTGAGCTTTGCGTCGGTGATGGTCGGCTCTAATTTGATGCACTAATGAAGTTCCTCCTCAATTTATTGCCTCACGAAGTCCGCTGATATCGGTGCCCTGATGAGAGCTGACCCGCGCAGTAATTTGCCTTCGACTGTCCGACTTTGGAGCTCACTCTTTACTTACAAGCGCTCATCCGTTTCTGCCTGCCTCGACGAACACGGGCGGAATGAAATAGGAATTGTACAGTATATGGAAGGATACAGCCACCCCAACATATGGACTATATAAAAATAGTCGGGGGAGCGCTCTGTTAGCCCTAGCAAGAGCAGGGATGCTACCGACGAGGTCGCATAGAGCGAAGTACCAACGGATCGAGCCGCACTGTTTGAAGTGCGGCTTAGACGAAGAAACCATTCCTCACATTATGACGGAATGCACTCCTCACCACTTCGATATTGACGAAGTGGCTAGGAGATTGGGTTTCACTGAACAAAGTGACGAAAATCTCATGAGAAAAACAAGAAGACTGCTGGAAGAATGGGAAAGAGAAACCCGGAGGATCTGCTGAGAAATCGCCCCTGAAACAGGGTCTCATGCCTATATGTATATATAGGCTCGAGAGGATCAATAAATACCATACCATACAGGGAGCTTTGATGAGAACCCCTGTATTGTAATCTTGGCGCTGATCCTTCGCTCCGGAGCCAATAACTCCGATACATCAAAGTTGTCGCCGAAACCTTCAGCGGTATCATACCGTTTGGAAGATCGCCGTCAAATCTCTCGATATTCGGGAGCTTTCATAAACTGAATCTGTCTCTGTCGTTCCTCACATGTCTGCATCGGAGCCGGGAGCGCCAGACGCCGTTCCTCCGAGTCCTTCTCGGTATTTCGGGCCTGAATCATGTGATCGTGCGAAGCCATACAGATCATCGTTCGGTTGCCGCGACCGCGATCATCGTTCGGTTGCCCGTCCCGTGTGACCAGATATGGTTCCTTCTAGAAGGGAAACTTCTCGAGAGCGTGGGTCCGGATCAGGAAGGTTCTCGTTGCTGCTCGAACCGCGGACTTTCGATCCGTGGACGGCCAAATTTTGCCGCTTACTTCAGCTGTGCGTGAAAAAGTCGTGACAAGCACGGCAAGCCCGATTCATGGGTTCCTGGAAAACTTTAACGCTAGTCTTTTCATTCCTGTATGAATCACTTGTTCTCCGTCGTAGCAGCACTTGCATTTGTTGTTGTTACCTGTCGACGAAGCAGAGGAAAGAGGAAGCCGATCAGCCGATTCGGGTCCGCAGACGAGACGACACGATTCTACGCCTTCCGATGATTCACTGGAGAATACGCGTCAGGGATCTCCTGCGATCCGGACCGTTGCGGGGATCTTCCCGGGCTCATCGAATGAGCGTCGGAATTATCGGAAGGCTTTCTATTCGGTCGGTATGGGATTCGGAGGCGGACTAGGAATCCAAGATGCGGATCAGTGCGCAAGATCCTCCGCACCTATCGCTCATGTTACGGGAGGGCTAGGCATCCCGGCGTAGCAGTCCCCGCACTCATGCCCGTGTGAGCATCACAAGTAGGCTCATCTAGGCTAGGATTGACCCGCCTTCGAGATGATACTTTTGTCCAAGAAGAGTGTGGAGAGTCGTCGTAGCTATCCAGGGTCTCCCGACTGGACCTTGAGTTTTATTTCTCGTGAGGAATGACACATCCGAATTCGCCAGCTGTGACCTCATGAGATGATTGTCAGATACATGTTAGGATGGAGCTCCTATATATATATTCCCGAAGATATTACAATCGCAGATAGCGTTCTTATCTCTCAGCCCTGACTCCCGCACTGCCTCAAGCAGAGCGCGATCATGCACAGGGCTGCTCGTCTAGCCGTGCGTTGCGGATCCCGAGGACGCGATGGAACTTAATCAGCGAGTCTTCGGCCCCGTCTTCCTTCCCTTTCAACTCTTCCCGTATGTGAGACTAACGCGATTCATATCTTTTTTTTCGCAGAGCAATCTCGTTACTCCACCAGCAGAAGGCTCGCAATGGATCTCTCAATCCGTTCTTGAGAAACGCATCGATTTTCGCGGCAGCAGCGGCAGCTGTTGCGGCGAACCATCGAATACCTCACTTGGGGGTGGGCCTGCCCCCACCGGCTACGTTTGATACGACGTTGAGCCGATCCAGTTCAGTTTCGAGTCACGGAAGCGTCTCTCCAGGTGCGTAGCTCTGTCCAAGGTTCACAGAATTCCTCTCTGGGGAAACTTGCGGCTTGCCGAGACCGATGCGTGGGCGGAACATACGCTGGGAACATTTGGGCTCCCCGCCCAGCTGTTCCCAGCGTATCAAACCTTGTCGTTTCGACCTTATGACGCCCAAGGATAGTACAGAATTCGCCGAAGCCCATTCGGACGTTGATGCGGATGGGGATCAAGCATAAATATCTCGAGATTCATCGTTCTTATTCCTCTGCCATGTCGAGGGAGCGGTCTCGGATCTTCTCCTTCCCCCTCGTACTGGTCTCGGTTGGAATGTGGCTTCATCCGAGGAGCCGAGGGGCTTGCCGATGGTACCGGAAGCGAACAAACTCGCTAGCGAATGCGCTTGTCGAATCAATCGCGTTCTCCGGCATACATTGTATCGAATAGTCTGACAATTCATTTTCATCAGGATCCTGAAGCATCTTCTTTCGCAGGAATTTCCCCATTGAGTTTTCCTCCGCTCTCGTCCGCAACGAATTTAGCGACGGCGACGACTTCGACCACATCTCCAACCCTTCCCGCTTCGCCCACATCTACCTCCGACTATATAGATTCGCTGAAAAGACGAAAAATCCACAAGTGCGACTTCGAAGGTTGCGAAAAAGTCTACACAAAGAGTAGTCATCTCAAGGCTCACAAACGGACGCATACTGGTAAGCGAGGGAAATTGCTGTCTCTTCCGAAACGAGATCTTGTTCGAGTTTTACTCGTTCCTACATCCTATGACGATGCGGAATGAGCCGCTGCAATATTGATCAAGAGGCACAGCTTGGGCTCACAGCAGGTCCCTTTATGATCGAGACAGTTGAGACGACCACTACAACAACATCAACATGTCCGAAGACATCACTGGCGGCGCGTCGAGCGATCAGTGTTTTCTTGGCCTTATCCGGCGAAGACTATTCCTCGTTGCTCTCAATTCGGATTGCCATCTGAGGTGGCGGCGTAGCCACTCTTCCGTTTCAATCTTTCAGAGATAATTCATGCCAGACTAATTTATTTACTCCGTCTTTCCAGGCGAGAAACCTTATACATGCACATGGGACTCATGTACCTGGAAGTTTGCGCGGAGCGACGAGCTCACAAGGCACTATCGGAAGCACACGGGGCAGAAACCCTTCAAGTGCAGCCTCTGTCAAAGAACCTTCTCCAGATCGGATCATCTGTCGCTGCACATGAAGAGACACTAAATACTCCAGCGAGTTAGGAGATCTTCTCCGGAATTTCATATAGGCAACATACTGATAATTAGGAGCCCTATTCTTGTTGGAAACACCCAGAGGTGATCATTCAGGTGGAAATCGGTTGTAAGGTGAAAACCCTGGAGAGGTGAAGAAGAGAGGAACATTTGTACCGTGAACGCACCCGTCATGAGGGGGCGAGACAATCATTGTGATAATTTTTTTCTCCGATGGGTGAAGCATGTAAATGAACAGGAGCGATGAGAACCAAACGTCTACCACAACCATCACTCTTGGATTTCGTGGACTCATTTTGTCACGAAATCTTCTTGAACCGATAACGAGGACCAATCCGAGCTTCGGAATCGGGCAGTCATCGAGCGAGCTGACCCCGAACCGGGGCTCGAACCGTAGACATTGGCTCTGTATCGAGCCGAACTCCCTAGGAAAGTCTCGAAAATAGGAAAAAATATACATCATACCTGTATATACATCGAAACGTACGGCAACCCAAGCGAATCCTATTTCTATAAACTCTGTGTTTTTTTACGAGAATATGAACAAATGTGGAGAGTCCTGTCAGTGCGAGCTGTCGGAAGGTGGCTTCACAGCTTTAGGTGTTGTTCTGCGACGCAATGATACTTTCAGATGTCAGTATGGTCCATGACAGGACGCTTCTTAAGCAGAAATTCCCAACATCAAGGCACGAAATCAGTCTTCGTCCAGTTTCCCAGAAGATTATGGACCGGAGATTCCGCGACGGGTCTCCCCTTGGAATGTACCGCGAAAAATCTGTCTTCCGATCAGAACTTGTTCCCCGTACTCAGGAAACTCCGAGTTGTGTTGAAAGCAGAGCCTCAGCCACGAGTCTGAAAACCAACGTTCCGCACTTCGGCTGCGGCCGATTATGCGAAACTCGCACCGTATCCGATCCTTTGCTACCTTCGTTGTCGTAAACGTGTCCTAGTCCCTCGTTGCAACTCCGGGTCGGTGATGTGTGTACAAGAGAGATAATATAAACGGGAATCGAAACATACTCACGAGTGTGCGATACTGAGCAGGAAAATAATTGAATGTGAATGACTTCGCAGGTATACATAAGATATCAAGTGACGATGATTCTCGTAATGTAGGCGCAAATCGATGAAGATGTTTCGGGATTGTACCGAAGCAGAAATTATTATCGATGGAGCGCCCGATCGATGACAAAGCGATCAGTCCTCAGTAGCGACGGGGTGAAGCCCTTATGAGAGGAAGCCTATATTTTCTGGAGTGGCTCTCCGATAAACTGTGTGTAATATAAAAAGTTTCTCCTTCTGTTTCGTATAAAAAGAATATGAACATAGTGGAAAGTTCTGAATCTGGATTCTTTTTGACGTGAAACGTCTTTTTGACGTGAAACGTCTTTAAAAAGGTTGGCCTAGTATTTCACCAAAAGTGTGACGAAACTTGTCCATTTTCGACGCCTTGCAGCTCCGTGCTTTCTACACCGATCGACACCCGGTTGGTGTCTTTAGATAGCAAATTTACGGCAAATCAATTTCATAAACTTCCCACGGAATTCCCACACACACAGATCAATTCCTGGAGGCAAGAATGACACCCTATACGCCCTATTCTCCCGTGAACATGGCTGCTCTTGGGAGAGGGCGATTTCAAATTTCCAGAGCGCGCGTAACAAAACTCAGAAGAAGATATTTTCCACTCGGAAGAAGATATTTTCCCAACTTCGGTGGAGAGTTCGATTTCACCAGTGAGAATGAGACCTAAAAGAGCCAGTTCCAGACGTCGGAAGTCTCGTTCACGGACTAAAACTCCGAGTGATTGTAAACGGCCTCGTACGGGTTCTGAAAGGACAGCGCAATGGCGGGCGCGTCGACTGAATACGGTGAGCCAGTCCCACAGCAATGCGATGGAGCAATGCTAGTCAATTTGATGGAGGTGACTCCCGATGTCAGCGACCCACCCTTGCTTAGCTATGCGATCGTAGATTTCCATTGCGCTCGGGTAGGAGCTGAGTTTAAAGAAATAATAACGATGCTCGAGTCTTACGAATTACGAATGGCCATTCCGAAGACGTTTCACGTCCTCTACACGGTAGTGGCTCTGCTGCTACCTCTGAATTTTTTATTATATCCACCGAGATCGACTGATTATAAGGAGTGGTATGTGGTATGTGGTCATGGAAGCATTACTCATTCCCGAGAGGGAGGCGGATCTCCGAGGAGCCCTCGTGGATCTCTGAAGTCGTGATGACTTACCATTGATGACGCATAGCAAGCGCTAACCGCCGGGCCAGCGCGAAGTCATTGGAATAATCTACGCTCCTCAGGCTCTGTCCCTCCTTGGTAGTAGGTTAGGATTTTCTTCCAGGTGAATCGTTGACGATAATATGTTGCAGGCGAAGGCCGGAAACTGGTCCTCCTCGGTGCTGTTCCAGGAACGAGACCTTCTTGGATAAAGGGAGCGAGGCACTGACAGTGAGAGGCGTCTCAAGTCTTCCTCGTCGAGGTTCAGTCAAGTATATGAAGTAAGCCTGAAGAGTTGAGGTGGACGGGGACTTGTCCTCTTCATGTCGAAAATACGCGGTAGCCCTCCGACCCCAGGTACGTTCCAGCTCCGCCTCTCAACCCCGATGGGCGTCAGAATCCGCCAATTATTCCGAGGGTTCCGTCTCGATCGCCGGACGTTTGGAGTCTAGAGTTCTGTATTGTTACCTGGGACAGCCCGCTTCCACGACCAGCCAGGTACGATGATGACTTCCTGGATGGGAAGCGTAGAGCAATGCTCCGTAGCTTATGCCCCGACGACTTTGGTCGAAAATACCTCGATATGGGAGCGAAGAACTGTGAGATGGGAGTTTTTCCTCGGATCCTACGGCATTAATAAAGTGAGCGCACACAGGCGCAGAATCAACCTGTGATCGCGGAAATCACCGACGGAGATAGGAATAAGAGAGAATACAGAGTCGGATGCCGAATCGCAAAGAAAGTTCGATCCGCTTCGACAGGATGACATCAATGAGTAATCCGAAGGTCGGCTTTCCCTCGATCTGAGTCGGAACGATTCTCTCTACTACTCTGAGGTTCACGTTCTTCGGCCTAGAAAAGAAGCAGGAGTTGGGAAACTCTCTGGCAAACTGTGAGATCCTTTCATCTGAGAAACGAGCTTCGCCGCAGAATGCTTAGAGACGATTTTTCAGATTCAGCATCGGAAGGAGAGGCTCCGTCGCTGACAACAATGGAATCGACAAAAGAGAAAACAATAGAGAGAAGCTCAGTGCAAAATCCGTAGCCGTCTGACAAGTGGTGCAGTTCACGGGTTTCACCATCTTTTTTGTAGGAAAAAAGGGCTGTCACCAGGCTGAAAATGATTGTTTGTGCCGACTCTGCTCGAGCCCATGTTACCAGTACCATGTATCGCTACATGACAACTCGATGCCGAGACAACTCGATGCCGAAATTACCTAATGCTCGGACAGCTTGATGCCGAGACGAGATGTTACCGACTTGTTATCACCTGATCACATTCCCATCTGAAGAAGGACGAGAAGGAAACTCCTCTCACCATATTATTCGCTTATGATCGTCATGTATGAGAAGCGTCTTTTCCTAATTTACAGCGGCTCCGCATGAGACTTTAAGCGGATCTATTGTATGCTTTCTTTGCTTTATGATTGAAGTCATCAGACAAGACCATGCTGGAACAAGATCATGACCGATGGATCAGAACTTTTCGGAGAGTCATGCAAATCAGCACGTACTCTTCACGGACAACTAAGCCTCCATGAGGAAATTGCTCGCTACTCCGTGGAGAAACTCGACTTGAGTTCGAAACTCGAATGTATTCACGAGCTCCAACAATCTGGAATCAGTTTTAATATGTTTCGGGCATTTCGCCCACGGCCGGTGACCATCGACGTATCGAGCCAGGAGTACATCGCGATGATGCTGAATTTTCCTCAATTTTCCTCCGAATTCCGTCTGTAATCGTCTGTGGGCCGCCTCGGCGTATTCGTACGAGAATCCTGTTTCAGAGCACGCTCCTAAACGGACCGCATGCTGACCAGGACTGCTGATTCGCCAGGACTGCTCTCGTACTTCTGGTATCCGTCCGGTATGATGATATCGGCCCGGTTGGTGCAGTGCATCCAGGGGATACCCAGACAATTGCGGACTCTCTGGATATTCCCTGTCAGAGACCCTAATTTTAAAAATTATGTGCTGTGGAGCCTCTTGGGTATCCGCGGCTCGGCGTTCCATCGCGACTTTTTCCGCTTGCAGTTCTACGGCCGCAGCATTCGGCATATCGATGTGGATCCCTTCAAGGTTAATTTCTCCTGTGTCGACGGACTTATGGATGCGAGTCAGACACTTCTGAGTTCTGCTTGCCTTGAACTAGCATATCCTAAATTCTGTGAAACTGTCCTTACTCAGCTGAGCGTACACGTAAAGATGCCCCCCGTGGGCTGACTTATCTCTTCCACGTTGAGTCTCTACCGCAGCGGACATTGTAATCGATTTTATATCTGAGCACGCGGGTAAATTCGAAATTTCCGATTTCAGCAACATATGTACAGGTATCACCTGGGTATCGCTCGCCTTCGAATCTTGTTTCGACCCGCGCTCCCAGGCCCGCGGGAAGGGGAACACGTCGCCGTCGCACCGACTGTCGTCGAACGTCGGGACCTGCCGATAGGGAACCCCGCAGATTAGGAACCCTGCGTATAGGGGACCCCGCAGATAAGGAACCACACAGATAAGGAAGCTCGCGTATGAGGAACTTTCCGCACAAGAAACCACTAGTATGGGGAGCCTCGCGCATGAGGGACCTTGCGAATAGGAAAATTTCCATACAAGGAATTTCCCGTAGATGGAAGCTCTATATGTAAAGCTTTTGTGTAGGAAAGAAATCTCCAAAGCTCTCCAAGCTTGCTAACAAGGGAACATTACGAACTGCCCCACGCCGATTTTTCTGAAACTTTGCCCAAATGATAGTCCCACCGAGAGATGAAGAACCCCCACCATGCGAGCTGCCAACGCTCGATAGGGAGAGAATAAATCCGAGGTGTATTTCCAGGGTTTTTCACCGCATAAGGGTGTTTTTT